TCATATACAATAAGGGATATTAAATGTGCGGTAGATGCGATTATAGTGGTCGAACAATTTCACCGGGGTAAATTTCATGAAGGTGAATAATCCCGGTTATATCGGTACTATGTCTAGAAAAAGAAAAATTTAGTTTAAGTGATAAGATAGACTCAAATAGTTTTGAAATAAAAGACATAATTCTGATAAATGTATAATTCATAATGTTTGATTGATTCTCACTATTAAAAACTGGTTGGATAAAAGAGGATTTCAGCGACAGGAAGTCAGGAAATAGGTCTGAAGATAAGGATATAGAAAAAAGATGATGTATTGAAATCATTAAAGCATATTTATATTATTTTAGAACAATTTCTGGAATACCTTCAGGGCCAGGTTAATTATATTTGCATTTTTCGAGTGCAAAAGAACATCTTGAATGCCAATATTAATTACAATTTAAAAATAAACACTATTGGGATTAGAAACTTCTGAACCGTCGGTAAATGGACAAATGAGTGCTTAAGCTGAAGATAAATGTTCAGCAAATAGGTTCGAAATGTTTAAAACATCCTGCGCAATTTTTTTTATCAAAAACATGACCCTTGGAAAAGAATTGATTTGTTTACGGTCTCTTATTAACTTCCAGAATTGCTTAGGGTTACTTACTAAAGACAATTGTGACCATGAAATATGAAATCATTGTAGCAGGATTTATAGAGTTGTTTACATTATAGAAGAAGATTTGAGAAGGTATATAATCTGAATTGATTATAAATTCTTTTAATTTCAAATGGGAATTTTTTTTTTTTTTAATTAAAATTCCTAATTTATTATTGAACCAAACTAGAAAAAACTATAATTATAGTACACAATATTACAATAGGAACGTGTTTTAACAAAATGTGGCAAATAGTATTAAATTTGCTAACGGCTTATTTAATATTTAAGCCAAGAAAACCTTTCTGCCAGTTGAATTTGTTTAGTTATACATAATATAATATTATTGAAATTTGCCTATTCAAAATTTGACAAATTTTTTTTATAAGCAATGTTCTAAGTATTGCGAGCCACTTTAGAAGTGATTATTAACGGCGTTTGGAAATCGTCGATGGGGACAAATGGTACTACTAGACTAACATTAGCTCTCACCAGTTACCGAGCTTCGCTCAGAATCGTTTTATGATTACGATGAGTTTACATTGCTTTCGGTGTACAAACTAATCATTACCTTATGGGGCGAAGTATGTCCGGCTCTTTTTGTATTTGTATAAAAACGTATTATTGGCTTAAATTGTGAAAATCCATAAGGTTTTTGGTACTTTAAACGAAAAGTTTAATTTTTATAAATATTATTAATTAAAACTAGTAAACGCACGTAATATTTTTGTTAACTGTAGACGTTACCCAAATATCAGTGATGGACTGTCGTGTATACGTGCTTTGATGATATGCCTACAACATTCCTACATAGTCGTGGTTATCCGGACGTTGTTGTTCTGATGATGATGCGTTCGTTTAATGGTTTAAATAAATAATAACTATACGTACCTACGATTGTCCTTGACATTTCAATGCGTGATAAATAATGAATATTTAAAATTAATAATAAACAAGTTAGAGGTTGTACACACGATAGATGATATTACGTGTATGTTCAGAAAGACTTTTTTTTTTTTCATTTTAATAACACGCCATTAAACTATTACTATACAGGGTGTACCACGATCATCTGCCACGTAAAAATAACTTTCATTCGATTCAATATTTTTTTTAACAAATAGTAAACCTCTGCGTTACATTTAATAAGTGACGATTTTTTTTTTTTTAGGCGGAAGAACTTTAAAAAAAAAATTTAAAATTGTAACACAATTTTTTTTAAAAATTAAAAATGGCCATTTTGTAAAGTAAATTTTTAGAAAAATGATGGTGGTTGAAACTTTTGTATAGGTCTTTTATTATCTAAAATTCGTTTAAGTTTTGGCAAATGTGAATATTATTTTGGCTTATAATGCATATTTAATCAGTACCTAGTCAGTACTATTTCTGTATGATATTAAATCATTAAAAAAAAATTCTTGTCTATAAAACGCTCTACTACTGAAAAAATATTTTAAGTGTATAATATAGAGTATTTATGTGGTTTATATCACAATAATATTCACTTTTCAACTTTTTTACCAGAGGACATGCTCCGATTTTTACGTGTTTTTTCTGAAAATAAAACGGTGTGGGGTGGTACTTTGGGAAGGTTATTTTTAAATTTTCCCCGGAATTTTCTCAAGAAATGTGAAAAACTGAAAAAAGAACGGGAAAATTTAAAAAATGTAGGTATTAGTTAAAAATATTGTGTTCTTCTTTTTTCTTGTGGACAACTTTTTTTACCAGCAAATTTGCTCTAACTTATGATAGCAAATTTTCTAAAATGATATTTTATTGGGGAGGTATTTAAGAGAGGTATTTTTTCGATTTTCTCAGGGCTTTTCCTGACAAATGTGAAAAACTGGAAACCGGGGAAATCGGTACATTAAAAAAGTATTATTAAAGATAATATATAATGCTTATTAAATTATTTTACGATAATAGGGTATATATATTGTTGACAAAGCATCACTATCAACCGAACTCCGCTCAGAGTCGTTTTTTCGTAAGCAATGGTTTATCGGTGCTTACAGGTATGCATTAAATTACCTATAACAGTAGCTGCACCCTTCCCCATTATCCTAGGATGTTTTTTTTACATTTACTTATCGATTAATTTCTTTTAAATAATGTAGTACCTTTTATAATAATAAAACAAAATTATTTCGCAACCGTTTTTCGACATTATTGAATATATGTACATCATAAATCCTTTTAAAATTATGAATGGTTATACTCGGTTGCACCGGCGATTCCCACAGATATTCAATATAGGTATTTAATCACTCCAATCACGTTTAATCGATTTACGAGCTATCTCGCGTGTAAAAAGTGTGTATAATATTATTTATTAACGATATCTCCTTCGCGATGATGTATATACTTCTAAGATTACAAGCAAGGCTGGACGAGTTAATGAAAATAATATATTAATAATATTTATATTATTATTAATATCTAGTCAAGTTAAAGGAATCGAAAAAACACAACACGTTAACAGGACGCCCAGTGGTGAATATGAGGGGGGGTTGGTGATTGGTGAATCACAACCTCCCTCCCCCATTTGAATTTTCGTTATCAATATATATTATCATCTACAACTTAATACCTAAGAATTTATACAAGTATATAAGTGGAAGGAACGTATAATAAATTATATAATTTTGATTTTTGATCAATTATTTTTTACTGTCAGTCAGCTAAAATTATAAGATACGTATTTTGTAATTATTAATTAAATCACTTATTATCTATGATCTTAATAAACAACAATTGAACCATTGATATAGAATTAAATGTTAACCAACAGACTGCAGCTACAGCTGAGTGCTGCTCTAATTGCGTTGAAGTCCAACGGCCAATAGTACCTAGATGCAGAGTTACTTATAAACCGGTATAGTTGTTAACAATATTTGTACAATAATAATTGCACCCGTATATCGGTATGTCACTATTTTTTTTTTTATAAGACGGCTATAGGACCATACAGCATTTAACCTATATTTTTATATTACTGTAGATTTGTCCTTGCTCCTCTCATTAAATATATCTTTAATACCTATGTATAAAACGGATTCTTTCCTTCCCTATGGAAATCAACCTTTGTTTATCCAATCTTTAAAAAAGGAAATAGATGCATAGTTTCAAATTATCGCCCAATATCAATCATTTCTATTAGCCATAAAATATTATCAAAAGTTATAACTTTTAAAATTATTCCTCTCTTTTTAGTACCCGAACAATACGATTTTCGTAATTATAAATCATCTCTTACTAATTTAATAACCCTAAAACATTACATCTTAGACCAGGGGTCGGAAACCTGCGGCTCTATAATATGCAATCTGTGGCTCTTTGGAAAATGTATCGAAATTTAAAACATATTATTATGTTTTTAATGTCTACCGATTCCCAATGAAATTGCTTATTAAAATATATTATTCATTTTTTGTACTATGGTATGTCTTTATTATCTTAACCAATGAAAATCTTATCTTTGAAAATCACGGTTTGGAAATTTTCTTTAAGAATGGCTCATTTACAGGAAAAGGTTCCCGACCAGTGTTATCAACAAAAAATCATTAGCAAACAGATGTTATCTACACAGACTTTGATATAGTTAACCACAGATTACTAATCCATAAACTTACCAAGATAATAAAATTCCTAAATCCGGCCATGCCTTTAGTATACCCCCTGAAATTTACGATGCCCCCCCCCCGGGATAAAGGTTTGAAATAAACACTAGAGTTAATGAACCTTATTACCTCTGTGAATTTGAAAATCGCCCCCCTTCTAAGAACTAGGATATATCCGCTACTGAGGACATAACACCCGCTTCTACTCTATCCGTCTTACAAACGCATGACATATCAAATTTGAATTCAGTATGACGAATTTTGTGCCGCATTAGAGTGAATTGACTTATTACCAAACTTAAAGTTAGGGAAGAACATTATCATTGTGTACCCTTACACATTGGTGGTTTTAAGGTATTTAAATATTTGAGTGAGATTTGAGTTTACGAAATAACAGTTTAATCTCACTTCAAATTAATTATAAAAAAAAATAAGACGGACGTAGGGGTAAAGTGGATGCAAGTATGGCGTTCTCTAATAGTTAATTGTTTTATCGGTTAACTGTACTATATGTTCGGTTAATTATTTGTGTTTGTAAAATTGCACCGAAACTCAACAGAGTCTTAATATTTTATTGTTGGACCTTTATTCCAAACACTAACTATCCATTAAATTATTAATATCCGATATCATTAAAATAATAATAATAATGTATACGTGATGAGCTATTTTAATCTCCGCGAAGATTGTAGAGGAATACTGCATCAATATGATAATTATTGTAACTAGCATAATATATGGGCCGCGTACAAATTACGTCCTTAAAAACGAAAATATACGTCGCGACAACCGAATTGCATTCGCTGTTTTTCGACGACTGTTCCGAATTGCGTCCGCAAAAATAATTGTTGTTCTATTTCTATATGTTTGATGATAAACTCGTTAATATTTATCCGTCGATTATCTATTATCGATACCTTATTATAAGTTGGTAAATATCCCTTACAATTTATTATTGGAAATTTGTTCATGTTATTCGTATCAAAAATGTTCAAACTGATATTTTTATTGAAATGCAAAGCTCAAATTTAACAAACAAACGAAGAGACGATGTAGAAAACGAAGGTTTTTTTAAAAAAATACTACAACTATAAGTTTGAAACAAAAGTATATGACGTCTTAAGTTACGTTCAAAAATGTGTGTACAAAAATTTACCCGTTTTATAAAATAAATATAATGATAATTGACACGGTATTTGTATAATAACAATATTCGCTAGGCGTACGGCATAATATTATCTTTGATTATTTTTTAATAACTACATTACAGATCAATAAACAATTTATAGTATCTAATATACATCTTAACCACATCATGTTTATAAATGATAGTCCTCGGTCTGTAAAAGTAGAATGGAAAATACGTATACATCAATAATTATTAACGCGGACGCAACTCGGACAAAACATCCTTTGTGGACGCAATTCGAATGCGCCGAATATATTATAGCTGTTATATCGAGCCAGCATATTGTGTAATACACAGTGGATGTGTGTGCATGGTGCATTTGACACCGATATTTTGCTCACGCAATTACAGTAGCAGCGATCGTCAAATGCTGTAGATACACCCTGTACATCGTACATTACTATGTAGATTTGTGGCGACGATAAAAGCGAACACACACTACGGATATTTGAACGGTTGTCGTTTTCGAACGTAAGTATGAATAATACCTACATGCGTCATGGGCCTGTACGAATGACATTCTCGGCGAACTAAACCTTTCACCGGCGGCGGCGGCCGTTCGCAAAGGAATTTTTTTTTTTCTTTTTCTGCATACCTATCGTAAGCTAGCGGCTGATTCGAGAACCGCGCGACGTCCTTCCACGACAATTCGTGTTTTTCTATATGTATAAGTACATTTATATTATAATAATTTAGTATAATATTATACGAGGAAACGACTGGTCGGCGGCGTGCGACTTCTACCTGTTTATCGAAAATTACGCGCACACGCATTTAGGAAAATAGCCGTGTTCAAAAATAATAATATTATCCGTCCCGCGATTGAGCAATTTGTTCGTGACTTTTTAATCCGCGAATGCCACAACGGTAACGATTACAATACCATAGGCACCTATAAGTATACGTGCCGAGGATTTAGCGGCGCTCGTGCGAAGAAAATAATATCTCAGTATAGCAACTTTATTATACTCACGTCTATAATTTTTTTTTACAATTTTTTTTTTTTTCCCCATTATTTTCGCGAGCATAAACCGCGATTATCTCTGCCCGTGTTATAGATGCGCAGATTATATTTCAAATGCCATTTCGCATTGCGTTACATTTCGCGTGCGCCGTAGTCGTCGCCGCCGCCGCCGTCGCCGCCGTCGTCCTTGTAACCTTGTAACGGTTGCCGTGTACATTTTTGTATAATGGGTCGGGTATCGTCCCGTTTATCGTTTATATAATAATATGATATTAATATAATATAACCGCGATGCGGATCAATATAGGTTTTCACGATCGCATAATATATAGCGTAGAACGGCCGCGTCGATTATCCGAAAAACCAAATCGGCCAAGGACCGCGGATGATATTTGCGTACAACTCTGACGCAAGGCTGCGGGGCGGTTCGAGTCGAATTTATCGAAGGAAACGACAAACGCCCGTACTAAGCACCGGGGCTTAGTACCGTCACCGCTGGAGTCGGATTCACCCTCGGCCGAATTGCCTTTGTTACAATATCACAACGAACTTTATACTGTGTCACCAGATTACCAACATTATCGGTTTGGTAATCCGATAAGTAAATAAATTATAAATCGCAGGCACCTGTATGATGTGCCGCGCGGGTATCTGCGCAGCGGCCGGCGGTGGCGGCGCAACTTCCAAGGACAATCCGTCGACGCGGCACACAATAAAATATTATTTTGTGCATCCTCCTGACATTATACAAAAATAAATTAAAACAAATCGGCACATACTATACGCGTGCGCGCGCACGCACACACACACACAATGTGTCACTTTTCTAATTAAATTATAATAATATTATCTATGTAAAAAATATAATACTATAGAAACAAGGTTGTTTCGCGTCGTATATTAAATTACAAATATCGTGAAACAGAACGATAAATATCGTCATCATACACCAAAACGCACTTCCTCGTTTTAAAAACGCAATTTGTATATACATTTAAAAAAAAAATAGTAGATTGAAAAACTCTACTATCGAATAGACACGTGTTGTGTTTACGACCGAAATACGTGTAATTAACGGGCAATAAACGGTAAACAGCAATATGTACGCAATATTGTTTCCACTGTATGATACTGCAACTAACGGATAAGTTACATAGGCGTGTTTTGAATTTATTCATAAACGTGGTAAAGAAATGAAATCAGTCCCCGTAAACACTGATCGAGGAAAACATACGGGAGCTACATCCCTCCCCACAAGATATTTGTTTATAATTGTTACCTATGCATATACCGTACATGTATAATAGATAGGTACTTCTTATCTACTTAAAAAATCCTCTAAAATTTTTCTTATTCCTGGACTAACCATAAAAATAATATAATTAATACATTTTAAATTGTTAATATTTGAATAACTAAATAAAGTTTTTAAAAAAAATTCGAATTTCACATCTTCTTTTTCCCTAACTGGCGTGTTAGAGAGTCAAAGATGATTCACGGACAAGCCAAAATTGGACGGAATCTGTAGTAATAATCAGCTTGCACCAGAGACCCGACACCATCGAAAAATCTTGATTTTATATGGCCAATTTCTTCCTATCCACCTGTTGACAAAACAATTATTATTTAAAAAAGTTTTAAAATGTAATAAAGTTGCACAAAATCGCAATAAAAAAAAATAATAATAATAATAGTAAATATTTAATGCTAAAGTATCGATTAACACTGATTATTCAATCATAGATAAAAATTGTAAGGGGGTGTCAATTAACACCTTTTCTTTTCTCTGATCACCCTCCTACCAAAAAGAAAAAATCAAATAACCACACAAAGTATAAACAATCATAATTTGATTATGGTTTTTTCGCATTTTACAACACATTCAATGTTAATTATACTTATCATTTATCAATACATCTACGTAAAAATTTAAAGGCGAGATTTTAGGAGTGGAGAAACGAGCAGTCTTGTCTCGACCGGTTCATTTTTTAAGAGTGTACCTCGATTCATAGAACCTTCCTCCCCGAGTTTCTATACAGAGTGATTCTTTTATCAAAAACCCAGCAATTATCTCAAAGGATTTAAGTAAATTTGATTTCTGTTTTTTCTAATCACTATGGAATCGTTTAAGCTTTATTTCGAAACAATTTTTAATTTTTGAATTTTAATACGTTAAATAAGTGTATAATAAGTGATAATTGCTGGTTCATGTTAAAAAAATTACCTCGTATAGTTGCGCCACCGTGTCCCATCGACATAGAGATTTTGCCAATATTACGACGTGCATTTATAAACTATTAAACTGATGATTCACGCATCCCACTTCAAATATTTATTTGAAAAATGATTCAGATTGCCACTATCCATAGTATTTAAAACTCCGCGGTCGAATTGAACGGCTGTATATTTTATTAATATTCGCATAATAATAGAAGCGTTGTAAATCTGTACATTGTTGATAAACATATAGGTACGAGTAAATCCTAATTAAAAATGTGTTACAAATAAAAATCACACGTTCTACGAATCCATCGAACACGCGTATTTAGGTGTTACTCTCCAACATATGATGAAATTCGACATTTTGTAACACCAAATTACTAGCCTAACCGGGCAGGTTGGCTTAAGAGCGGTCGCATCGCAATCGTATCTTTTAATTTGAGGGTAATGCTATCGCAATGGCACACGACTAGAAAAGTTAAACGTCATTATTATTCGCGTACACACATGATCTCATATTTTATACACGCTAATTATTTCCGTTGCCATCTTACGAAAATCATATAATACCTACACGCGCGGCGCCTTATAATTTTTATTTTCACGGTCGTTACCGGGACGAATTTCCTCAATAATGAGAACCGCAGCCCATCGGGGTTTTACGCAGACGGTAATTTTCACGTTCAAACTCCCACGATACAGGTGTAATGCCAATTATACATAGAATATCCTACAGGTGTTTACAGTACATTAAGCGACTGTTCACGATTGATGTTAATATTCCAATGGGTTCGGTTCGGTCAGAATAAATAAACAATTTAGCGCTGCGAATTATTCCAGTAGATATAGGTATTTAATATATATGTATATATATAAATATACATATGGTATGATCAAAGGGAATATTTTTTTTTTTGAATATTAAAGAATAATTATTTAATAATATAATAAATACAATCGAAAAATCGTATTGGTTTGAAGGAAATTAATTTTAAAAAAAAGATTATGATTCTTAGGTTTTTTGTAAGGATATTTCGGAAGTGTTTTAATTCTTCTTATCTTGGTTTAGAGATATTTAAAAATAAAATATCTAAATCCGAACATTATAAGTGTACCTATACGCAATATTTTGTATTGGCTTTTAAGGTTTAAATATTCTAAAATAGGTATAAACTGTTAAAAATCCCTGTAACCCTACACTGAATCCGTAATAGATGGTCGGTAGTATAAGCCAGGAAATATTCAAATGTATGATGCAGTGAAGATGTCTGTGGAACTTGAAAGAAACTCATGAAACTTTGACTCCTACCAGTGCTCGAATTCAAAAAATGAAAAAAAAGATTCAAGATGACTAAAAACAAAATTAGCCACCCTTGCAGTTATTGAACTTAACGTAACCCTTGGGTAATTTGTACGTATATCGCTCACTCCAGACATTGTTCAGTTTTCAAAACATTCTAGTAATTATTTATAGACATAAAATTACAAAATAATTTTATTAGGTACATAGTTATATAATCTTTTACAGTTATTTATAAACATTTGAAATTTTCGAATTTTTTAGGTTTTTACTTGGTTATTTGAGTTTAAAATTGACCACTTTTGACCAAGCAAAAATATTCAAAAATTTAAAACAATGTTAAGAACTGCATGATTTGTCATAAGCGACAAAAAAAAACTTAAGCCAAATAAAATAATTTATTTATAAGCTTTTTATAGGTCTAATATTAAAATTTTAATAAAAATACATTTCGATAAAAATGAAAAAGTTTCGTCTTATGCGTACCACTTAAAATAAACAGTAGAGATATTTCTGAAAAATTATTTATGGTATGTACTTACCTTGCATCTCCTAATTTGAGTACTGCCTCCCATATTCTCTTAAAATATCTAACTACATTCTTAACATTTTATAACTTTTCCCACCGTGGCTGTGCTAATGGGATAAAGACATAAGAGACAACTTATCTAGGATTCCGAATCACTATATTTTTATGAAACCTCACATTTTAGATGGATATTATGTTTAGCTACTAAACTTGATGAATGTTCTAAGATACCAGTGTTGATAGCACAGTATTGATTACCACACAATTAGTAATATTAATGTTTTTATCGAATTAGAATTCGATAATATTTTAATACATTTTTTTGCCATATGTGTGTGCACAATTATACTTTTGTCCCCTAAAAATAATCTTCGTGGACGCAATTGCATCTTTAGACTCCCCTTCCTATCAAATGCCATCACTGAGTGATGATGATATCCGGCTATCCAGTTCAAGACTGCAACAATTGCGAAAAATAATTTTTTCGGTTTAACATATCCAGTTCTTAAGTGCATCAAGTATACTTGTAACAATTAATTCATGCATTTTAATAATATTAGTAACAATAATAGTAATGGAATATGCGAATATCAACAATTGTATTTATGCCTACCGAGTTTCTTTCATATTTTATAGTTTACAAAATATTCGTTGAATTTTTAAATAGCTCTCCTGAAAAAAAAAGCTCTTTTTTAAGTTGTTGCAGCCATAATCTGGATATTCGATATAACGATGGCCGCCAATCTATTGGATTAAACAACGTCTATCGGATAGGTGAATTTAATATCAAGCGATCTAATTGGATTTATTTCGTTGAGGCGTAAAAATATTGTTGTTAGATGTCCAGACGATCCGTGTTGTGTTTATATATACGTGTCGTGTTTCTGGCGGGATTCGTCCGTACCAGGTGGATACAATAATGTAATCGAAAATATTATTCATACGCACGATTTTTCAATGGTGGTGGGGGGGGGGAATTGAAAATTAATAATTTTTTGGTTGCTTTATCACACGCTTAAAAAATTAAGTCTGTCAATAGGTGCGTTCTGAGTTCTAACTGATGATAAACATAAAATATACACAACAAAACCATTGTTTATAACGGGTGTCATCACAAAAACGACAATCTTAAAACCCCAATAATATTTTATTCTGTGATAACACAGTAATATAGTAATGAGGTAATTAACGGACAGCGTTGGTAAATTAAATTATTTACTTACGAAAACAGTGTATCTTGTGTGTGAAAAAAAGTCCTTGCTCACTAACAACTATATTCGTTACGGTTGATACTCGATAAAAAATATATGTGTACAACATTATATAACTACGGTCGTTTGGGGGTTGGGGCTTCGGCATCTCGCTGTGCCCCTGCGTCCGCCGCTGTCCGTACGAAAATAACGATAATGTTTGCCGGTGTTTCCGGTGCCGACGGACGCAGGCGACCGCCGTGGCGCGCGGCCGAGGTCGTCGGTACGGCCGGCTGGTGTCCTGGTACCGGACGCCGTGGAAAATGCTGGACAGGAAACGAGAACGACACGGCTACGGACTGCGGCGGACATGATCTCCTGGTGATCAATAGACAACCCGACGGAGCGAGTGCGCACCGCCCGACGGCACCCGCCGAGTTTTGTCTATTCGACGCCTGCCGGACGCACGCCGCGGCTCGATCGGCTCGGTCCGCGTAACAGGGTCCCATCATGTCGGCCGGCGCGTCGACGTCGTCCGAAATTTTCGCCGCGGCCGGTGTCCGTTTTCGCCGCGTTTTAGCGCCGCACCGCCAGCTATACATAATATCGTTACCATAATATTTTACTGGTGGGAGGGGGGGGGGAATCACCGACAAATGTTTAATCGGGACGGCAGAAACGCATACACCGTTGCGGTTGACCGTTTGTCCGGTGAAATGCGGCAACGCTCTCGGCGTACGACCGCGTGCGGTTAAACGCAGCGCCGAAAAAACGCGTCGCGCCGCGTCAATCTACGACCGCACTGACCGCGAACGCGCGCACATCGTAACCACACGCGGGAATAAAATTGTTTGCAAAATATATTATTATACACAAATAATACATTGTAGGCGACATTATAGGTATAATATCGCAGGAGTATGACATGAATAAACAACCGGATGGAAAATCTCCGTGCCGACTACACAATTCGATAACAGGATCGCAGGCGCACCACAGTTTCTCTGGCGGTCTATAGCGTTCGGCGCGCTATGAAATAAATAACAGTTACACTCGTTTTATACTCAGAGCGAAGCCGAGGGATATGTTGGTTTTACATTGATGTTTATTTTTTTATTTTTATTTTTCATTTTTTTTTTTTATTTTTTACCTATGAACAACTTTTCAATTTGGTCAATTTTTGATTTTCCCAGAGGTTATCATAATAAATGGAAAAAACCGGGAAACACACGTAGGAAAACCCGGAAAACTTTCGAAGGATATCGTTTTCAAATCGTAAACATTACGGACTTTTAAAGCGTGTAAAACCAAACTCCGAAATAATTAAATAGGCACTATATATTTTCTTGTATAATATTTGTTTAATATTATACCGATTTTCCGGTTTTTCCTGCGATTTTGCCGGTTTTTCACATTTACTGAAAAAACTTTTGGGAAAATCGAAAAATGACCTCCCTAAACTACCATTCCCGTTAGATTTACTTTCAGAAAAAGTGCTATCATTGTAAATCGAAGCAAAATTGCTGTTAGAAAAGTTGTACACAGAAAAAAAAAAGCATAATATTTTTTAATAATACCTACATTTCGTACATTTTCCATTTTTCTGGCATTTTATTCTGGTTTTTTCCCAGATATTATGAAAATCACTTGAAAAATCAAAAAAAAAACCTCCTAAAAGTACTATCAGATTAATATTTTCTTTCAGAAATGGTGCCGCGCGTAAATATCAGAGCAAGATCTTTATCAGTAAAACTAATATATTATTCGCTATACTCAGAATTTAAAATTATAGGTAATAACACAAAAATTGAGAATCACTTATTTTTTTGTAGGGTTTCATTTGTGACGGTTTCGTGGTTCAATATAAAGTGGTTTCATGTTTTCAGGTATTACTTTCGGTCATGGCCGACCTTGGATATGAATTCCGTTTTCGGAATATAAATAGTATTGAAATACACATTTTTTTCATTTTACACACAGTGTACAATACGCACACGTAAAAGACAATTGCCTTTAATTTTTTAAAGGCATCAAAGTCATCCGGACGAAATATTAAGTGTTTCCTAAAAACATAAACACACTGTATAATGTATATATTATATGTATACATAATACAATGGGTACCTATAAATAAAATAAATACAGTAAATATGATCCAATTTTGGAATTAATCAGCTGTGCAATGGGGGAAAACGTGGTTCGGTCCATTATAAAGGTATACGGCTAAAATGGGTTTTAGACCACTGTATGGGGTCATAAGCGCAAGTCGCATATAGATAGATGAATGAATATTATGGAAATACTTCTGAGGAATTTTACTCAGACACGAGATGTGAATTGGAGCACGATAGAAAAAGACTGAGAAGCTTAGGTTTCGCAGCTAAAAGCCTTAAATGGCTTGTGATGGTAAACTACATCGCGATAAATGATTACGTTAATTATTGTATTATTAGTATTTGCACTGATTGTAATTATTATAGTTCTACTATCTAAATGTGTCGAAAAAAAAATGGGTTTACAAAATTCGTCGCTTTAAAAATAGGTCTCTGACGCAATACTAATACAATATAATTGTTATTGTAGTTATTAATCAGTCTCATACGACGACGTGTCGAAATAAAGCCCGGTCTACACAATATGATAACTATATACAGTTGCTATCGTGAAAGTTGCGAAATTCTCAAACGTTGATGGTCACTATCGTGAACTATATGGCCGTGTGAACAGGACGATAGCGTATAACTATCGAACTGATCGTATACATACGCATGATAATGTGATAGTAACTGCCGTAAGACTGCGAGAGTGATAGAAACTATCACCGCGCGAACACGCATTTTCACAGACGAAACGCGACAGTTACTGTCGTAATAATTTCAACACCAAACTATCACGATAGTAACTGCTGGTCATCGTGAGGCCAATGTAGTTCAGATAATAATGATGATAATTATTGTAACGTTACCGAAAATGATTTTTCAGACACCGAGCAAAATAATAATTATTGTACGAGTGTACAATATTGTATAATATTTGTGTTTAATATATATTATTATTTTTTTTTTTCAAATAGCTCAATTACTTGAATAAAAAAAAAAAAAAAAAATGCGCTAGTAATTATCGTGTTATTATTATTATTATCGTTATTATTATTATTATTATTATTATTATTATATTATATATTTACGGGCGTCGTCGTTCCCGTCGAAATGCCTGTCTACGGGCACCCAATGACCGGCCAAATTATCAGCTGAAGTATTAGGTTAGGCAGTAACAGTATGCGGGCATTGTATAATATCACTATACGTTATTATTATTTGAACTGGCGTCCGTTGTTCAATCGCGTGCGCCTATACCAATCCGAATCGGGAATCGTTACACACGCCGTTAACGCGGTTTCAAAATCGTGCCGTCCAGAAGCTCCGGTACCGAAAATATTCACACCGTAGCGCCGCGCGTTCATCGTTGTGTTGATTGCATGCATAGGCGTGCGCAGACTTTACGGTCGGGTCGTGCCCCAGAAAAATTAATTTATTAGGCGTGTGCCCCCAAAACCACTTTTATTGCCATTCAATACTAGATAATACAATATAATTAATTCCATACGCTGTCTTTAAATTGGTTTTCATAACTATAAATTAAAAATTTAAGTAAACGTACCTTTATAATCTTCAAACCGATAATCGTAGTATATAAACGAACTAACTTGGATAGTTACAATCAAGCCGGTATATTTAGTAACACAGTCGTAAAAGATAAGAATGAAATTGGCAGTGAACTCGAAATGTACGAACTAAATTTCAAAAATGGCAGTTTTACAGAACATAAAACTTGTACCTACTGTTGTCATGTGTCAATATAAAAGCGAAAAAAAAAATCATTATGCAAAACTTTCGAGTAGTGCCCAGGGGTACACCCGGCACGCCCTGTACGCACGCCTATGGCGTTGAAGAAACTATAAAAATGTTAATTTTCGTCACGGAGAATTATACGAATTACACTGTGTTCCGTAGTATGCCTATTTATAAATAATAATTTATTTCACTTTATTATTTGCCGAAAAAAAAATAGGTGGGAAAAATCGTATTGTGTAATATAATTTATAATGATTATTATACACCGGGTTTTCGGAAAAAACAAACGGACATCACACGATGGGTGAGCCACTGTTATAAATGAGTAGTTGAAAAGGTGAAGAAGACATTTAATGTATATCTATAAGCAACGATATTAAGCATTGATAACGAAAAACGAGCGGAGTCCGGTTATACATGTTTTAAACGGCTGTAATATTTATGATTTGAAAATAATATATTTCTTAGATTTTCCCATATTTCCTATGTATTTCTCGGGTTTTCCCATTTATTACAAAAACTCCTGGGAAAATAATAAAAAATCTCCTAAAAATACCACACCAATCATATTTACACTCAGAATATGCTACACATGAAAATCGAATCAACATTCTGGTAGAAAAGTTGTGCACAGAAAAGAATATATAAATACATCATTGTAAAACCATGTAATATCAAGTAAAATTGTTTTCATTTTTTAGGGTAGGAACTAGGAAATTAATTTTATTTAATGTATAAGGATTTTAAACATTTAGATTCTAAGAAGTAAGAATACTTTCCAATTTTACTTATCCTACCTTTCAAACTTCCCACCTACAATAGTAGCTGCAACCGTTCCCGGTATCTTTTTTTTATGAATATATAATATGCGTATTCCTTAAAAAAAAAAAAAAAAGTAACGTATAAAGAACGAGTTTTTTTTTTTTTTTTTTTTTATTGAACGAGGAACGGAAAAAAATTTCTTTTTATAAGGTACTATCCCAACACTGACTCTCCAGTAAAAAGTCAGAAATGCCTCGTGCGTACTTAACAAATAATATTATTGTTGGAAAAGTTTTTTTTTTTTTTTCTTGTAAATGATTTCGTCAAAGTGGTTCGAGTAACGGTGCATTGCAATCCTTTGAACCCCTGCAGCTAGACAGGGAATACAATATGTGTTTTGTTAACGGTTGTTTACTTTCTATTTTTAAGAGACACGCAATACAAATTAAGTACCTGTAATCGTATGTGTTATAGGTTACATCGATATTCTGTTAATTTAAGAGTCATAATCGGCAAAATAATTCCTTAAGTTGTGTTTTACTTTTACTTCTAAGCGCGAACCGCGAATACCGTAGTTTAAATTAGATTTTATTACACTTTATTTTGTGATTGCACAATGTTATACTATTATATACAACTAATTAATAATATTGACAATAACGCTGACTTGTAATAATTTATTATTTGTTTGAACTTTGCCATATAATATGTGTAACATATTATTAATCGAAAACAAAAATAAGTGGCTTATTTAGGTTCGGTGGCTCGACGTCATAATATTAAAGATGAAAAAATGTGGGCCGTTAAGTATGTAGAACAATTATACCTAATTTAATGTATATTATACTCGATGCATTATACAACGAGAAATCATTGTAAACAAAAACCTATTCTGG